TCAAGTCTGTATCAAATCAAGCACCCCGTAATCACAGGTAAACTGTCTGATCAGTCAGGTGTTTGTCATGAGAAGTGTTCAAGTAAGTCTGTTTAATTGCGCTATCTTACAATCAATATATAGTAAATGTAAGTTAAAGTGTCGCCGATGTAACCGGTTAAAACTCGGAGTGGCGATGAGGTCTTAAAATGTATGGTAAGAGGCTTAAAAAAGGTCTTAAAAGGTATTAAATTTAGCTCCATGATTCCTGTATATACCCTGATGTAATAGTTGGAGCTATGATTTCTGCAGCATCTCTGCAGATACCCAGTTGACTTAGACACTTGAAGCTCTTCTAGCATTTTAGTAATTTGATTTACACTAACTTTAGCAAAAGAAAAACTATTTGGCAACACCCCTTGTTTTAAGTAAAATCTCTTAACAAAATCAATCCCATAATTTCGTTTGGACAGAGGAAGTTTATCAACTAGACTATTAGCAATTAATGAAAATAATGAAATAAATTTATTAGCAACTTTATTTTTATCAAATTCTATCTTGCCATCAGTATCTAGACCTACCTTTGATACAGAAAATTTTGATTTACCAATCGAATGGAACCTATTTAACACCTTCCACAGAGATTTAGGATCTTCTTTGTTTTCTTGAATTTGTTCCTTAATAAAATTACGTTTTACTTTAAGAAATAAAACTTTAACATTTTTCCAAGCATCATCAACTATTGAGATATTTTGAATATCATTCCAATTAACTCTTTTAAGATTGTCTTTAAAAACTTCAATATTATATTTTTTAACGATCTAGTTCGTACTGTTTTATGATTACTAAATCTTATTTTACTACATTTTCTTGTACAAAAAATGATATTATGATCACTGATACCGTATTCAATTACTCCTTTCTGGGAAATATATTTTTCATCAGATACCAAAATAAGATCGATGGTACTTTCCCCACCTTCCCAAACTCTAGTAGATTTGTTTATTATTTGGGTTAAATGGAATAATTGGCATAATGACTGTAAAGCTTTAAAATTATCCCCTTTTCTATTAGCTATATTTGTATTAAAATCCCCCATAATAATAAATAATTTTGCCAAATCGTCGTTATTGTTGTTCAAAACAAACTCCAGTCCCTCATAAAAATTGTTTTGACTGGGTGGACGATAACAAACTCCAAACAGTATAGGCTTAGTTGCAGGCAACAATAAATCCAAGAACAATAACTCTTGCTCAACATTAAAGGAACACTCCACTATTTTTGAAAATAGGCTCATTTCTAACACATTAAAATTAATATCCGATCTAATAAACATACAAACACCTCCTCCTTGTCTATTGCGATCCTTCCTAATAACATTATAATCGTCTACTTTTATTTCATTATTAGTTACAGATGAGTCTAACCATGTTTCTGTTAAGCAAAAAATACCCACTTTACAATTTTTAAGTAAGCACCTTATTTCATCAACCTTAGGTAACAAACTCCTTATATTTAAGTGCACAAAATGTAAACCTTTTGTGTCAAAATAGTCCCCAAACAAATCGGCAGAATATCTTGATACTGGAAGAGTCTCTTCATAAACTAAGCTCTCATCGTGTTTGGTGACTTTCTGGTCCACAACACGTCCTCCCCGGCAAACTGTCCTCTCCAAACTAGACCTCGCAGCCGCCTCGTCGCCCATCACGACCTCGCCATTATCCATGAAAAGGTGGGATATATTATTAGCCATGCTGTTAATATTTGGAGCCCTGTCACTGCATGACACTCGTACCTGTACAACAGCGGAATTCCGTTCAGCCAAGTACGATCCGGATTCCAAAACTTGCCCTTTGTAAAAACCAGGACAAACTTCCCCATTAGGACCTGTACAAGGATGAATGTCGCCTGACAATAACAGGCATAGGATAATAATGAATTTTCGGGCGTTGGAGTGGTGTTTTGAGATCGAGGGCCTGGACGAGTGTAAATGTAATAGGGAAAAAATAATATTTCGCCCGTAACGGAATTCCGTTCAGCCAAGTACGATCCGGATTCCAAAACTTGCCCTTTGTAAAAACCAGGACAAACTTCCCCATTAGGACCTGTACAAGGATGAATGTCGCCTGACAATAACAGGCATTGATAATAAATGTTTCTTGAGCACCAAATCAGCATATTGGAATGAATTCTGAAGTATCATGTGACACTGAAAACTGGAGTAATGGCTGCTGAAAAAGCAGCTTTGCCATCACAGGAATAAATTGTTTTTAAATCATTTAAAATGGAAACAGTTGTGTTAAATTGTAATAATATTTCACAATATTACTGTTTTTACTGTATTTTTGATCAAATAAATGCAGCCTTGGTGAGAAAATGAGACTAATTTCAAAAGCATGAAAAAATCTTACTGACCACGAGCTTTTGAATGGTAGTGTATATTGCAAAGAATTTGCTTTACCTCCAATTTGACCATGAAATTGTGTCCTCTGTGCATCTATATAGGTGGCAATGGCTTTCTGCCAAACGGAGGTCGAAGTTCACGTCGGAGAGCTGCCACGTTAACTGAAGAGGGAGAGGTCTCTGAATGTGAGAGTACCAGCTCATCATCATCCTCAACATCCGCATCTTCATCCTCTTCCGGAACCTCGTCGTCTTCGTCCGAGAGTGACAACAGCGGGGCTGAGGTGGCCGGCTTTGCCGACGGCGGCGATCATGACTACAGCAAAGCCCCGCAACACAAACAGAAAGGCAAAGCGGCATCGGCCTCTGTTGAAAACACAAAACGGAAAGGAGGAGCGCAAACAACAACACCTGAGAAACGAGCACGCCGAGCAAATGAAAGAGATGAAGAGGAGCCTGAGGAAGAACCAGAGGAAGAGGAGGAACCTGAGGAGGAAGAGGAGGAACTTGAAGAAGAAGAGGAATCAGAAGGGGAAGACGATGTCATTTCGTCGTCAACAAAAACTGGAAGTCAGAGGTCAAATCAAAGTACTCCAAATTCGGGGCGGGTTAATACTCGTAACCAGGGTCGAAGGACTGTCCTGTACAACGATGACTCTGAAGATGAGGGGCTGACAACAGACCCACTGAATCTAGGAATGTCACGTTCTGGAAGAGTCCGTCGCATGACTGAACGTGCAAGGGTCAGCCATCTCATGGGCTGGACACATTGACATTTTATGATCTTTACACAGACTCACTACAGCGATACTGCAGGGATTTAGTTTTTAGTACTGTCTTTTTGTGACTTGTTTGTTTTCCTGTTTTAGTCTCCGAAACTTGATGTTCATGACTCTTCCTGGACTGTGGTGCTCTCTCTTCTCTGTGGTTTCCACAGAAACTACCACGCCATCAACAGCCACACCTCTGCCTTATTCTGGTCCAGAGCGCTAAAGAGTCAACTTTCCTTCCCTCTCTCTATGTTCATCCTCCCTTCCTCCTCCTGTTTCACTTTGATTTCCATCTTGGTTTTTTTTTCTGGTGTTTTTCACTCCGAGGAATTTATTCTGTCAGAAAGATGGTGCTGCTCTCCTCTCCCTTCCTCCATCTCGGATTCTTTTCATACCCTTTTTTACGCAGGGGGTCATTGAGAACACTTACGTTTACCGTCTAATTCAGCTGACTTTACTTTACTATTAAATCAGGTTATGCATTTACCTCTGTTCAATAATATAATAAATTTTGGTGCAGGTGCAACCTCTGAGGTGCATTAACTACTTCCAGATCACTCACCTTAATCTATTTGAGCACAGACACGAGGAGGATTATGGGAAATGTAGGAGAAAATGCACTTCTCCCTTCTCCTCTTGTTCAAATACACAAACACTTCAGACTGTTTTTACAGAATATATTTATATTTTTCCACTCTTGTATGATACACTTTGATTCACTCTTATCTTGCAGTAAGGAGAACATTAGTATTGATAATGTTTGCACATTTTATGTCAAGTATATGTGGCAGCTGATTGGTGGATGTGAGGTGATGTCTGAATCCTGGACTCTTGACTGGTTCAGATATAATGTAAATTGAAGCTGGTGCCCTCAAGCTATCTGAAGAGCAACAGACTGTTTATTTTTTATTATTTTATTATTTTCTCTACGCCATTATCATGAAAGACTGAAAGGGCTGTTACGTTTTGAACAAGGAAGACAACAAGAAACTCTGAAAATCATCTACTGTGATCATGTAATCAATGTTAATGTGTTTCACTGGTGTATTTTCAGGATAGTGAAGACATTATAAATGGCATTATAAATTGAAGCGATCATAAGTTGAATCTGAGTTTGGTTTGTGGTGTGTACAAAAATGTTTTTTTTTAAACATTGGAACATCTCTCTCTCTCTTTCTCTCTCTCTCTCTCTCTCTCTCTCTCTTTCTGATTTGACCTTCCCTTATCTTCTTCCGTTTATCCCTCTTTCTCACTTTTGTTTTTCTCTCTGTTGCACTACTGTGGAAAGCACCCTCTCCATCTAGTCTCTAAACTGCTTTTCTTCACCTGTTTAAAAGATGTTTCCCAGCCAATCAGGATACAGCATTAACCTCCTCAGGCTCAGTGCTGTTCCCTTCATTTAAAAAGGAGTTGAACAGATGAGTTTATTTTGTCTGCTCATTTCCTTTCCATTTCTCATGGCCCTTTTTTTTTTTCTTTTTCTTTTTCTTTTTTGTATCAGGGATCTGTTGTCATGTGACAAAGTCTCAGTCTGTTCAGTGACAATAATAATGAAGATGGTCATGATGTTAGATGTCATAAACTTATGTCCTGTTTTTCTACACATTTTGGATTGTTTTTTTTTTATATAATAAAGGTGTAACTGTGATTTGTCTCTCTCTGATCTGTACCAGTCAAAAGGACATGAATGTAGGTAAAACTATGATGTATTTTATCTACATCTATAGATATATAGATAACTATGGATATATATATATCCATATCCACACACACACACACACACTATATATATATATAGTGTGTGTGTGTGTGTGTGTGTGGATCGCTATCCTCTTTCGCTGTTTTGCCAGTGACATCACCACGATCGCTGACCTGAGCGCATGACTGTGACGTCACTCCAGTTGTTTGGAGAAGCCGGAAGTGAAGGAAAATTACTACAAACAGAGCGGGGGACAGCTACTGATCCACACGAAGAGCTTGGCAAAGTCACAACTGAAAACTACTGCCGTCTAATCGTCACACTTCCTCAAGAAGAACCAGCAGCCGAACCGGATTATGTCGAACATGGAGAGTATCCTTGCGGACTGCAGTGGTCGGGCCTGGTCCAAATTCACTATGGGACCCTAATCACTTTCACTTAGAGTTACTTATGGGTTTAACTCGGTGGTGGCAACATTTTAGCACATAACGTTACCAATAGGTCGAGTCACATTATAGCCGTTATATCAAACAACGCACATTCGGGATTTCTTGTCTCATCAGTGGAGGTACAGATTGATTTACAGAGTGGATTTTAGTATGTAGCTTAGTAAAACGATTTAAATTGGAAAGTTAAATAAGATGGGGAACTCTCCGTTCTGTTTTTAATTTTGTCAGTTTATGAAATTACAAGGTATTATTTTGGTAATGGGTTATCAAAAACATCGTCAAATTCCGCCAGGTACGACTGTGACGTAGAATTACGTAATGTCGCCGCCTATGTGTTATTTAGGTGAACTCAGCCCAGCCTGTCAGACTAGTTTGTTCGGTTTCGAGACAGTGTACATTGTTTGTTTATAATGTAATCGTTATTGTTACATTGTTGAAGTGTGTATTGGGCATATTTTTTTATAAATAAAAATCTATTGAAGGTATCAGATAATAACACAAACATTGCGGTTCTGTTTAAAATCTTTCCTTGACTTTTGACTTCAGAGAATTTGTTTAACCTCAAGTTTGCAGCCAAAGAACTTCAGCGCAGCTCCAAGAAATGTGACAAAGAAGAGAAAGCAGAGAAGGCCAAGGTCAAGAAGGTAAACAATCACAAACAAAAACAAAACACACATATCCATTGAATGGCATTTTGACACTCCATTAATTTAGAAAAAGTACCTTTAGGCTGTAGTATCTTAACCCAACAGATTTTGGAGCTGCTTTATGATTTTTAAGCTTTGCATAGAAAAAAGTACTGATACATTATACTTGTGAAAAAATTGAAAGTAAACATACATGTTCAAGAATTATATTAAATATACAGGTGCATCTCAATAAATTAGAATGTCGTGGAAAAGTTCATTTATTCCACGTCTTATGAAGTATTCTAATTTGTTGAGATAGTGAATTGGTGGGTTTTTGTTAAATGTGAGCCAAAATCATCACAATTAAAAGAACCAAAGACTTAAACTACTTCAGTCTGTGTGCATTGAATTTATTTAATACAAGAGTTTCACAATTTGAGTTGAATTACTGAAATAAATGAACTTTTCCACGACATTCTAATTCATTGAGATGCACCTGTAAAAGTCAAAATATCTAGCCAAAACGTACTTGAGTGAAAGTTCTCATTCTCATTAATGTTACAAACTTTTTAAAGCAGTCTGATCACCAATTCTGTTCACACTTAAGCTCATCCATTTTTTGCCATATGTAAAATGTACTGCTTCAAATCGAAGACTGTTTTAATGACCAATGTCCCAATGAACCACTGCTTATGTCTGTGTTACTTAGGCAGTCCAGAAGGGCAATATGGAGGTTGCCCGGATACATGCGGAAAACGCCATCCGCCAGAAGAACCAATCGGTGAACTTCCTTAGAATGAGCGCTAGAGTGGATGCGGTGGCTGCTCGAGTACAGACGGCAGTCACCATGAACAAGGTACACAAACTGCTTTTTCCTTTTAAACTAGATATATCCAAGTATTTATCCAATAGATTTAACAGTTAACTTTAGATTTTTAATTCTCCAGGTCACCAAATCTATGGCTGGGGTGGTGAAGGGCATGGACGTAACCCTGAAGAGCATGAACCTTGAGAAGGTGAAAGGACAAGTTCTTTGTTCTTGAAGTGTTTTCATTGAGCAGCTCATAAAAATAATTGCGGTGATCTGATTTGTTTAGATTTTATTGGCAGTATTAATTCTCTGTGTTCTGATTGGTCAGATTTCAGCTCTAATGGATAAGTTTGAGCGCCAGTTTGAAACTCTGGACGTACAGACGGCTCAGATGGAGGACACAATGAGCAGCACCACAACACTCACTACACCACAGGTGATACATACACTCGCTTACTACGCTGACATAGTTGTTTTGCCTTTTGTGACACTGTGCTGTGTTTTAGGGTCAAGTCGATGCTCTGATGATGGAAATGGCAGATGAGGCCGGGTAAGAACATTTCCAAATGCTGAGATTATTATTTATTTATTTTTTTTAAAGTAAATACTATAATACACACTACCATTCAAAAGTTTGGGGTTGGTAAGTTTTTGTTGATGTTTTTGAAAAGTCTCTTATGCTCACCAAGGCTGTATTTATTTGATCAGAAATACAGTAAAATATTATTAGAATATATAATAATTGTTTTCTATTTTTATACATTTAAAAATATAATTTATTCCTGAGATGTCAAAGCTAGATTTTCAGCAGCTATTACTCCAGACTTCAGAGTCACACGATCCTTCAGAAATCATTCTAATATTCTGATCAGGTGTAAATGTCTTTACTGTCCCTTTTTTGGTCAATTCAATGCATTTGCTTAATAGAAATGTAAAATTCAGTTGATTCCAAACTTTTGAACGGTAGTGTATTATTATTATTATTTCTATATGATAATATCAGACTATGAATTATTGACTAAGTAATTTAATCAGTTAGCCAATAATTATTGGTATTCAGATTCAGGAAATCTTTTTGGTAACTGAACCCAATTTAGGACAAAAATGTAAGATAAAAAAACAATGCCTGTACTTGTGCCTTTAGGCTGGACCTCAATATGGAGCTTCCTCAAGGTCAGACAGGATCGGTGGGAACCAGCGTAGCATCTGCAGAACAGGTATTATAACACACATACTTGAATATAGAAATACGAACAAACTCATGTCAGATATGTGCTATAATGGTTTTATATTTGTCACTGTAGGACGAGCTCTCTCAGAGACTGGCCAAACTCAGAGACCAGGTTTAAGGAAAACCAGGTGTGTGTATGTGTGTGTGAAAGAGAGAGATTGTGTATGTGCGAGTTTGTATAAATCATATCCCCTGTTTACTGGCCACTGGAAATATTGGCCTCATTGTTTATTTGTGTTTAGTTCTCTTTTTATGCAGTTGAGGATGGGTGTGCAGCTTTTATTATCCACAATAACATGCTGGAAACTCGATTAGACAAAATTCCAAATGTTACATGGTAACGCTGCTGTTACCATCAGGTTGGTTCTGGGGTCCTGCTCTAATCTCAGTCACTAATTACTGAATTAAAGATTATTATACATTTCTTTGTAATCGTACTCTCTTTTTTTAAATTTGTGTTCATGTTTTAAATACCTGCTTGTCTTTCAAATACATTTTATGCCAGTGTAGCTACATTAACCTACACCAGTGTTGATATCAGACAAATGTTGAGTAAAATCTGTTTCGTGCTGCTGCACACATGGTTTGCCTCTGCTTCGAAGCATTGTGGGAATTTGTAATATAAAATGCATGTGATCAAGATGATGATTTGAATAAAGTGTCATCATTTTGTCCAAAGCAGTAAAATCCCCAGTTTATCAGATTATTTATGTTTTAACACTGATCTTTCTGTTCATTTATTCTATTTTGGTTTAAAGCTTTTGGCAATGTACGGCTCGATCCGCTGGTTCAAATGGGAACATATATATGTTTGTGTTTATATAAATAAACATTTTGCAAATCCTTTTTTTGACTAATTTATTTATTGGGAATATCAGTTTTTCTACAGAGAACGATCTGACGTTCTGATCCTCTGAGTCTTGACATTATGACACTGGTTTTCAGATTTGGTACAATGACTGTGTGATTGGCCTGTTGTGCCGAGAGTCACAACAAGATAGGGTTTTGATTGGTCCATTGAGCTCAAACGTTAGAACAGTGATAGGTTTTGATTGGTCCGCTGGGTTCAGAGTTAGCAGAGCTGAGCAGCTGTTACTGGTACACTGATGCTGCGTCCCAATGTGCCTATTATACTACGCCCTTAAAGTATGTACTTTTTTGGTGAGGAAAAAGTACACACTTTTGAGTGTGTAGTAAAAGAGTTTTTTTTTGTTTTTTTTTTAATACAAAACTTGTAGAAACATACAGAAACAGGGAAGCGAGACATGAATATATTCCAACAAAAAGCAATTATAAAAATAAAAACAGAAAACAAATATTCTGTATTTGCATGTCAAATTAATTATTATCGATACATAAAAGTGCAAAAATAAACTT